CCTGTTGCTCATGGAATCAAACCATGTCTGTCTACTGAGTCCTCAGGGTCTGTTACTTTTGCAGATTTCAGATGTGACCTTGAAAGTTTAACCCTATTATTACTTTTTGATCACTGTACTTTAAGCTTGGGTTAAACTCCCTTTCTGTTATCTTTATATTATTTGTCAGTTACTACTATACTTGTACCCAACACTCATAGTCAATTTTCAACGTCAGTGGGAGGGAATGCCCCATTCTAACTAATATTCTTATCAAGGTTTACAAAGTCCTTCACATACTATCTTGTTTGATCCTTGTAACAACCTTGTGAGGAAGTCATTGCAAGCATTATTACCTCTATTTTACAGATAAGAAAATGAAGCTTTGGCCAGTCAAGTGACTAACTTAAAAATCTTAAAGCAACTAATGAGTGGTAAAGTTGAGTTGAGATGGTTTCAATAAGGCTGAGATGAAGCATCTGCCATCTTGAGTCAGGGACCTCCCACTTAGTTGAAGGTCAAGAGAGAGCTCTGCAGGATATTGGTATGTCATTCTTTGACAAAAATGGCCCAACCCTGCTCCTCTGCGTATGATGGATAATAAAGACACAAAAACCAGGTGAGAACAAAGAGAGTCTAAATTTAAAGGATAAGGAAAGTGGTAAACAATAGACCTCATGGGACCATTATATCCAAGAAAAATAAGAGGGCCTGATTTGGCCAAGGTTATCTTTTAGGGGCTCAATGGAGATAGCCCCATCACATGCCAACAGGAGGCAAGATAGGCGTCAGTGGAGCTTGGTATAATTATAAAAGACTTTAAGGTCCCTGAAAGGGGTAGCCACAAATAGGGCTACATAGCATTTGTTAACAAAAATTCTTTGGTGACATGAGCTATGAGTACTTGCAAGTGGGGGATGCTTGGTGGTCCAATAGGATCTATTTCTTAGATTTCCAGGTGGAGAAAACAGAGATCCCCGGGAAGTAATTCAGAATTATGCTTTACACCAGTGTACACTCAAATAGAGATGGGGCCGCTAAACCATACAGAAGAATCTCTGCGTGCTGCATGTTGACTTAGTGTACTGTATAGTTAAATATATTATCAATGTTCTATTGTTGTTTTATTTATCTTGTTAAGTGTTTCCCAATTACATTTTAATTTGGATCTGGCAGTACTGGGGAGTGTTGTGTCCAAACTACATGTTTGACAGCTCTGCTGTATAGGTTGAAATGTGACAAAACATTAGTGCTTCCCCCCCACCTTTTTTTTTTAGCCTGTGACACATTTGTGAACTTTCTGGGATATAATATCAGTACACACTAGGTTTCCTCTGTCACCTCCACCTATCACTATGGCATCTGTCAATTCACACGTCCTACATGAACCACAGAATTTGTAAATACCATATAGAGAATGAAAGAATGTTAAAGTAGTAAGGATTCTTAGAATTCATCTAGTTTATCCTCCTGTCTCTTCCCCCTTTTAAAAAATAATCAAGGACACTGAGTCCTAGAGACAGAAGCTGTTTGGCCAAGGTGGCAAAGCAAGCATGTTGCCAGAGCAGAGCTAAAGAAAAGCTCTTTGACCCCTGCCCTTGACCCTCTGAGGTAAACCAGGCAAATATTTTTATCTCCTTTTTATGGAGGAAGAAAATAAGATGCTTAAAGGTCAAGCAACTTGTTTGTGGTCATAGAACTAGTAAGTACATGAAGAGGAGAACCCGATTCTCCTCACTCCAAGTCCCGTAATCTGCCCATTATATCACACTGCCATTCTAACATGTGAAGGTGGCAGAGAGGTAAAAGGGCTGATCACAGAGTCAGGACTGCCTGGCTTCAAGTGCCATCTCTGACATTCACTGGCTTTTTGACCTTGGGAAAGGACTACAGATACACAGCAGTCCTCCTCTCTTGTCTCTTCATTGAGGTCACCACGAATATTTCCGTTGTCATCTTCCTGCTCAAAACAATATTCAAAATGGGAGGAAGAGATCCTGGATACTGCTGGACCCCAAATATATCTTCAGGATGCACCCAAGTATTTTGCTACATGGCCTGAGCAGCAACATTGTATATGGGGGTCCAGGGATATCACTGCTGCCCCTTTGTGCCTTAGACGGTGAGCTGTTACAGGGAGAGGTGCCAAGATCAGTGCTAAATGCGGTTTAGTACTTGACTACCCATGTGATCTTGGGCAGGTGGCTCAACTTCCAAAGGTCTCAGTTTCCTCCTCTGTCAAAAGAGGCATCTGGACTAGATGACTTCTTGGCTTCCTTCCAACTCTCAAATGCTATGCACAAAAATGCCCATAAATCCAACTGAACTATCCTTTATGATAATTCAGTAGTCTTGACATCCGCTGTGTTCTTTTGTTTACTTTGTCGGTTGGCAAAATGCTCTGTTTGTCATTTGGGTGTTTCCCTGTGAAACAGTGAACCAGTCTCAACTGTGTGGAGTACAAACCTCTCAACTTACACAGAATTCTCTCAATTCTGGTCTTGCTAAAGCCTGGATTTTGTTTGTTTACTTGGTTTCATTTCAGTGGTATGGGAGAGTGCTAGACTTCGAGTTAGGAGTACTGGGTTCACTTCCCATTTCAGACACTTTCTAGCCATGGGCAAATCATTCTTCATCTGTAAGGTGGGGATGATCACAGTTAGTGTTGTGACCTTAAAGGCCATCTAGCCAAATTCCCTCATTTTACAGATGAGTAAATGAAGGCCCAGAAAAGTTAGGTAATTGGTCTAGTAGTCAGAAGAGTCCTCAAAGAACTGGATCCCCTGACTCCAAAGCCAGTGAGCTCTCCATGGCAGCATGCTTGCCTTCTCTTCTTCCCAGGGTTATTTGAGGAAAATGCTTTGCAAACCTCAAAAGCTATAAGAATGAGGGTTGTTGCTCATTTGTGGATGTGGTTGGGTGGGCCAGGGTGCACCCAGCAAGAAAATGGTCTTGAGGCAGATGAATGATGAACATGAGAATAAATATGGATGGGGATTTCCAATGTGAGTGAGCAGGGGAGCTGAGAAAGAGAAACCAAGGGGACTGAGAGACCTGGGGAGGGGGCAGTCCTGGAATCGGAAGGCCTAAGCCGGAGGTATAGCTCTGCTCCTTACTGGTTGTGTCATGTGACTAAGCCATTGGAATACTGTACAGGTTTCTCATCCTAGCATAGACCTTGCTCAGTTTCAGTTTTCTTATATGTAAAATGGAGATAATTAAGGATTTATTCTACCAACTTTAGGGTTTTCTTGAGAATCAGAAAAGATGATGAGTGAAAAATTGAAATTCATAAAGCACTATAAATATATAGATTACATATACTAAAATTATAATATATTATATATAATATGATATTTTATATTTACTTTATATTATATATACTATAATATAGAACAAATATATAATTATATATACATATCTATACTTATGTATATGTGTGTATGTATATACATATACATGCATACATATATACATATACATATTTTTATATACATAGATTGTTAGATAGATAGGTAGATAGATAGATGGTTATAGCCAGTATGATGTAGTGGCTGCAGTGGGAAGGGACCTGGAGTCAAAAAGATTTGGATTCAAATCCTATCTCAGACACTTGCCTTCTGTGTGACCCTGGGCAAGTCATTTAACTTCTCTCAGACTCAGTTTCCTCATTTGTAGAATGAGGATAAGAATAGCGCCTGCCTCATGGTGTTGCTGTGAGGGTCAAACAAGACGATATACATACAATGCCTTGCAAGCCTTAAAGCACAATGTAAGTGCTAACTATTAATGTTATTTTCATCATCACATTATGTCTTCAGAAATTATTAGTGTTAAAAAACACTGGGGCCAAAAATGTTTAAAACTTGGAAGCAGTTTTGAAGTTTGTTTATTGCCTTAGTTGTTGTTCCATAGAAGCTTAATAATGCAGGACTTTAAAAAAAATATGACATTCAGGTGGGTGACATCCTGTCTCTTGATAATTAGTAGCGGTATGACCAGGAGCAAGTCACTGGACTGGTCTGAGCTGCAGATAACTCTCTAAGACTCATCGGCTCAGTTATAGAACACTAATGATCTTCCTGGTGATGGGAGCTCCCACGCTTTTGAAACCATAGATCCTTGGCAAGTTGGCAATGTTCCATTGTCTTTAAAGGTTTTCTCCTTCATGTTCTCGGCTATCTGCTTTTCATCCATTTCTCGCTTCCAGGAGTATTTTGTACAATACTCTCTGGTAGACTCAATGTGACTTGATTGATTGATGTAATTAGAGAGATCTTAATGTCATAGGATATCAGAATTGGAAGAGAACTTTGAGACTAGTCCAATATTCACATTTTACAGATAAAGAAACTGAGGCCCAGGCACATGAAGTGACTTGACCATGTCACACAGCTAGTTAGCAGCAGAACTGAGATCATAGCCCAGCTCCCAAACTCCCAGTTCAGTATTCTTTTCAGTACATACCAGATTGTTCCTAGAAAACCATAGTCCATCATTCATTTAAACATAAACCATTTCAAGCTCTTAAAGGAAAGGGTCCATTAATGATGTAACATTATTATTATTATTAAAATCACTAAAATAAGATAGTTTATGGTATAGCAATATGTGCAAGCAGAGGCATTCTCTGGGTGTCAGGGTTCCCAAACTGGTGTACGTCTATCCTACGGGGTGTGAGAAGCTCGTCAAGAGGGTAAAGGGAATATGTGAATCAGTCATCTGATTGAAATTAATCTATTGTATTTCTTATGTGCACATATATTTCCTTTCATATTGAATAGAGAAATATGAAGGTTTTTCTTACGTGAATATGTATGGTAAACTCCAGCATTTATTTCCATTCGTAAGAAATAGAGGACAGAGGAAGGTTTACTGAAAGACAAGGAGTACTGGGACTGAAAGAGCTTGGGAACCATTACTCTGTGGCCCAAGTTATAGGGTATAACCGGAAGATGCTGGGCTGTGAAAGGTCTCCAGCTAGGCTCTTCCTTGGGAGAAGGAATGAGAAGAATGCTTACTGGTTGCTGGCTCACTGGTTGTTGGCTCTCTGGCTGCTTGTTCAGGGGCTGAACTGGTAAAGTTGATGGGGTTTTCCCTTTGGGTACCTGCTGACTGCCCTCTGAAAGTTGGTAAGACTGACTCTGAGGATCCAAATAAAGAAATAAAAAAAAATGCTCAAAGACCAGCCAAATTGTGACTTTTGAAAGACTGAAAACAAATCATAATAAGCTAACTATGCTAATCAATAAATGAAAATTTTCCCAATGCCCAATAGCTTTGAAGAGTATTCCAGAAGCGGATCTTAGTATTTCCCAAAGGTAATCTACAAAACTACTGTTCATGATCTTGGATCACTTGCTAAGGTGACCCACCCTCCTCTAGCTTATTAAATAATGCCTCTTTGAAGACAATATCTTTAGGCTTAGGATCTTGAAAATTTCTGAGCAAATATGGGACAGCTAGGTGGTACAGTGGATAGAGTGCCAGGCTTGGAGTCAAGAAGACCTTACTTTAAATCCAGTCTCAGACAATTACTAGTTGTGTGACCCTGGGCAAGTTACTTAATCCCTGTCTGCCTTAGTTTTCTCACTTGTAAAATGGGGATAATAACAGTACCTACCTCACAAAGTTGTTGTAAGGATGAAATGAGATAATATTTGTAAAGGACCTAGCATGTAATGGGTGTTATATAAATGTTTATTCCCTTCCTTTCCCTATCCTCTACTTACTAAATAGGCAGAAGCAGAAAAACCTTGTAAGCAAAGCTATAGTTAGCACAGAGATCTAGCACTTCCTGATGGGTTTCAGAGTACATATATAAACCTTATTATACTCTGTAAACCCTCCCTCTTAAACATCACTTCTAATGACAGGTAAACACAGTCGACCTCAGGGATTTTTTTTTCTCCTTCAATGTACAATTCATCAAAATAAGAAGATGCTGTATTCATTAGCATGTTTTTTATAATGTCCCTATGACTTCAAGGAATGCCAAAAGTTACTGCGATTAACAGAAATTAAACCCAAAGTAAAACATTTAGTCTACTACCTGGGTATTTTCATATGTGTTTGATGCTGGGTGAATGAAATCCCTGGATGACTGAATTTTCCCCTTTATATCCATATCGCATGTTGCTTTGTTTAAACAGAACCACAGTGCACATACATATCCTGCTGTCTGTTTGGCACATTTGTATATGGAGCTGAACTTTCTCTCCAACCAAGACAACTGTGGAACTAAGGGTTTGTGCAATTCTCTGAGTTGAAGCAAAAAAGCCTTCATTCGTTCACTCATCAAATATTGATTGCATACCTATTATAGGTAAGGCACAGTGATTTATTTTGTTGCTTTCTTAAGATACATTTCTTTCTTTGTTCCTTACTTAGGATCCATTATTTCTGAGCTAATTAACTGAATTCTATTCAAAGAAATGCCCAGTACTTGTTAAAATTTTGGTACTCCATAGTTGAAATGAATAAGAAATCACATTGACACCCCCCGGGGTGTGGAGGGGGAAAGCTTTGTATAAATCAATCCAGATTTCAGATTGTAAATTTATATCATCACATAGATTTGTTAAATTTATATAAGTTCCCATCTCATGCATGGCAAAATTAAGGCTTGATTTCTTTGCTGGCTTCCCCAGTGAAATTACTTACATGGCGATTGCCCATTTTGTAGATTTCTTGGATGAAAAAGACAGAAGTGGCGTGTAGGTTGATAAAATGATAGTGGTAGGAGTGGTGAAGGTTTATAACACTTCTCTGAGGGCTTGGGACAGTTTCTCTCAGGTTAATAAATAACTTATAGAATTTAATTTGAATAAATTTTTGGTGGGAGGTTTTTTCCCCTACCCTTTCTGAATATGCTGTTTTTTATTCTGAGGTGTAGCAACAGCATTGCAACAATAACTATTTGAGAACTTAGAATGGTCAAGTGGCCTTGGTCAGAAGTCTCATTCAAATTAAATATTGTATCAGTCGATAAAATATTAAGGTTTATTAATATTAGTAACTAATTAATCACTAGGGGTGGGTGGATCAAATGCAATTCTCTGACTTGGAACTTATTGTTATTATTGTTTTATTTTTCATTTGTGTCTAGCAGGGCCTCAGTTTCCTCATCTATAAAGGAAGGAGTTGGATAAGGTGACTTCTAAGGTCCCTCCAACCTAAATCTATGATCCTGTGCAGAGTAGGAAGGCTTTTGCTGTTGTTCAGTCGTTTTCAGTCATGTCTGACTCTTCGTGACCCACTTTGGGGTTTTCTTGGCAGAGATACTAAAGTGGTTTGCCATTTCCTTCTCCAGCTCATTTTACAGATGAGGAGAAGCAAACAGGGTTAAGTGACTTGCCCAGGGTCACAAAGCTAGTAAGTATCTGAGGCTGGATTTGAACTCAGGTCTTTATGGTTCCAGGCCTGGTGCTCTATCCACTATGTCATGTAAGTACCTACCAAAACTACAAAACAACAAAACTACTTCTTTGTTTGTCAATTAAAGCCCCTTACAATCTGGTTCCAAGTTACCTCTCCAGACATTGCAGTGTTCCCCTCACACACTTGACCTTCGGACCTATTTATCAGTCAGTCAAATGTATTTATTAAGAGTTTACCTGCTCCATGATCTAGTCACTATGGCCTGCTTGCTGTTCCTCACACAAGACACTCCATCTCCCAACTCCCAGTACATTCTCCCTGGCTGTCCATCTGCCTGGAATTCTCTCCCTCCTCATCCCTGCTTCCTGGCTTCCTCGGCTTTCTTCAGGCTTCAGCTAAAATCCTCTCTTCTGTTGTTCTTGTCGTGGAGTTGTTTCAGTCATGTTTGACTCTTCGTGACCCCATTGGGGTTTTCTTGGCAAAGATACCGAAGTAGCAAAGATATAGTTCATTCTGCAGATGAGGCAAACTGGGTTAAGTGACTTACCCAGAGTCACACACAGCTAGTAAGTATCTGAAGCCATATTCAAACTCATAAAACTGATTCTTCCTGATTCCAAGCCCAGTACTCTATCCACTGTGCCACCTATTTGCCCCGCTTCCATAAGAAGTCTTTTTCTAATCCTCCTTAATGCTAGGGACATCCCTTTTAGATTTTCTTCAATTGATCCTGCCTATATCTTGTTCACATGTTGTCTCACTCATTAGAATGTGAACCCCTTGAGGGGAGGGACTGTCCTTTTCCTTTGCATCTCCAGCTCTTATACAATGTTTAGTGCATAGTTGGTACTTAATAAATGCTTGTTCTGTTGCTGTTGTTAAGTGGGAGGGATACAAAGGAAGCTAAGAACACCCTCTTTGTCTGAAAAAGGCTTTTATCTATTGTGGGAACAACATGCCAATATCTATGTCCATGCAAGATAATAGATGGTTTATATGGAAGGTGTTTCTCTCCAAGGGCAGACAGTAATTGTGTGTGTGTGTGTGTGTGTGTGTGTGTTCGGGTGGGGTGAGGAGGGTAGGATAGTAACAAGGAATGGCCTGATGTAGAGTGTGGGAATTGAGTTGATCTTGAAGGAAGTCAAGAAAACCAGTAGAGGACGGTGAGAAGGGAGAACATTCCAGGCAAGGGGAACAGCTAGGGGAAAGGTACAGTTGGGAGAAGGAATTCTGTGCAAGGAATGACTAGAAGACCAGTGTCATTTTATTGTGGAGTACATGGAAGGGAGTAAAGTGTAAGAAGATTGGAAAGGTAGGAAGGGGCCAGATTATGATGGACTTTAAAAGCCCAACAGTGGATTTTATATTTAGTCCTATAGGTAATGGGGAGCCATTGGAGTTTACCGAGTAAGAGAGGGTGTGACTTAATCAAACCTGCACTTCAGGAAAATCTCTGGCTGTCCTGTGGAAGATAACACCCTTCCTCCATCTTGGTTGCTTTGCACAGCCTGTCACCCATATCTGGAAAACCCTCCCTCCTCATTCCCTCCTTTTAAACTCCTGAGCTTCTGGGAAGCAAGGAAGGGGTGAGATAGGGAAAGGCCTCCAACCAGAAGATGGTATCTGAGCTGGCTCAAAGGAAGCCAGAAACGCCAGAGGCAGAGGTGAGGAAGCAAAGCCTTCCAGGCATGGTGGAGAGCCACTACAAAGGCATAAAGTGTAGAGATGGAGTGTTATGTGTGAGGAATACCAAGTAAGCCAGGTACCCGGATGATAGAATACAATGAAGGGAGAAAAGTGTAAGAACACTAGAAATGGAGGAAGGAGCCACATTATGAAAGGCCATGAAAGCAAAAGGGAGAATTTTGTATTTGACTCTGGAGGTCTTTGGGAGCCACTATAGCTTCTGGAGCACAGTGGATGATATGGTCAGACCTAGGCTTGAGAAAAATCACCATCATGGTTGACTGGAAGATGGATTGATTGGAATGGGGAGAGACTTGAGGTATAACCTGTTAGAAGACTCTCTCAATAAACCAGGAGGTAATGATAATGGCCTGCCCTGGGGGGCGGGGGGGGGTTGTATAAGTAGAGAAAAGGGGATATACATAAGAGATATTTTGAAGGTTGAAACTACAAGACTTCGCCATGAATTTGGGAGGTAGGGTGAATGTGAGTGAAGAGTTAAGGATATTGCTGAGGTTGTGAGCCTGGGAAACTGAGAGTGGTGCCCTTGATAGTAACAGGGAAGTGTGGAAGAAGGGAGGGTTTGGAGAGAAAGGTAATGAGATTTTCTTGCCCATATTGAATTTGAGATGCTATGGGCATTGAATTTATCTGGTGAATAAAGTGACTAGTGCATATCCTCACTGGGCACTTTATTCTTAGATCAAAAAACAAATAAGCCAACTAACAAACCCACAAATGTTGCTCACAAAAGTGGGCATTGGGTTATGTCAGCTGCTATGGTTATAATCTGTTTTGGGGAATGAGTTGGAACCAATCACAAATTATTTCAGATAAAATTTAAGAGAAAAAAAGTAAATAACGAAAATTTGTGGGGAAAGCTCTCTGCTACACATACTTAGCTCTAGAGCCACAAAAACTTCCTTGGGAGTCCAACAATTAAATTTTAGTGCCATGAGTTGGCTTTAAGCTAAAAACTGATAAATGAAGCATTTTTGGTTTTTAGAAAATATTTTCCATATATACATATATGCATGTGTATCTGTAGATAGAGCCTGCACAACATATGGCCCCATGGATCGCTTGCAGCCCACCAAAGGATTTTGGGTAGGCCACCAAAAAGTAGGGTTGCCACTGTGCATTTTCTCCAGTTTGTCACATGATCCATGGCAACCAACCATTGTCTGTAGTCTCACCTATCTATGACCTGAAGAAATGTAGCCTATTTTAATTTCGGTCCCTACCCTACTGCCAAGTTGTGCAGGGCTGCTATAGATACATACACATGTGTGTATATGTACATATACACACACACACACACACACACACATATCTGTAGATATATTGGATGCTATGGGACATCCAATTTGGGATGTCCAAAAGGCACTTGATGATGTAGAATTGGTGCTCAGGACAGAGATCAGGTCCAGAAAAAGAGATTTAGAATCATCTGCATTGAATTGGGAGCTGGTGAGATCACAGAGTGAGACAGTATAAAGTGGAAAGAGAAGAGAGTACAGGACAGAATCTTAGGAAATACCTACAGTTAAAAAGTGAGACATGGAAGAAAAACCAGTTTAAAAAAAAAAAAGACAGAAAAAGTGGTTGAACAGAGACCTGGAGAGAGTAGTATCACGAAAAGCTTGAGACTCATGTCAAAATATCATGGAGAAGAAAGGATTCTACAGTGTTGAATGCTGCTGAGAGGTTCAGGATTGGAAAAAAGGCTTTAGAGGTGGCAAGTAAGTGTTCACGAGTATATTTGGAAAGACAAAGTTGAATGATAGAGACAGAAGCCAGATTTCAAATGGTTTAGGAGAACAATGAGAGGAAATGCAACCAATGAGGCTATCTGCATAAGTGTCAGGTGCTAGTGGGGATTCTTTTTCTTTTTCTTTTTTTTTTTTTGGTTAGGCAATGGGGTTAAGTGACTTTCCCAGGATCACACAGTTAGTAAGTGTTATGTGTCTAAGGCCGGATTTGAACTCAGGTCCTCCTGAATCCAGGGCCAGTGCTCTATCTGCTGCACCACCTAGCTGCCCCTGGGATTCTTTTTCAAGTATGGGCTGAATGTCCTCAGACATCCCCTCCAAATCCAAAATTCTGTGATTCAATCATCCATTTTTCATCACAAGTAAGATCAATAATTGTGTCAGAGGCTCATAGGAACTTAGATTTCAGGGCTGGAAGAGACCATCTGGGACATTTTTTTTTTAAATTTATTTTTATTTTTTAATTTTTATTTAAAATTTATTGTTAAGACTGGAAATGTATTAATATTTTCTTTATAAAATATACATTACTTAAAATAAATTTTATTAAATTTATCATTTTGTTTATTTTAAAAATAAGTTTTATTAATGCCTTTTATTTTTGACATCACCGTTCTTTCTGTAAAGTCCCATTCCTGCCTTTTTCCCTGCAAATATTGAACCTTCTCATAACAAAGAAAAACCAGTTAAGCGAAAAGAATCAGTATGGTGGTTGTAACAGCAACAACATTTTAATGATATTTTATAGGGGCAGTTAGGTGGCACAGAAACAGAAAGACCTGAGTTCAAATCCAACCTCAGATATTTACTAGTTGTGTGACCCTGGGCAAGTTTACCTCAGTTTCCTCGTCTATAAAATGAACTGGAGAA